TCCTTAATGGACATTAAACCGCTAAGCGTGGACCCATTGATTTTATATATAAAACCAATATTTAAATAGGATTGATAATATTTTATATTTATAATGTAGAATAAATTACTATACTTTATCAGGAGAGTATATGACCTGTTTTATAATATTTAGATAATGCACATTCATTTTGTTTCCATTTTAAAAAGGACTGGCCTTAATTGTTCAATTAATAAATTGATAATCATATACTAATTTGAGTAAAAACCAACATTTTGAGACGATTTACCGTCCAGACGCGTGCACAGATGTGGAACAAATATATTCTAGCACCATTAGGTGTCTTACCATTATTGGCATATGAAATAGTTTCTATTTATGTCTATTAAAATTTCGTAAAATAATAATTTGACACTAACACGAATTTACAAAAAAAGATGGACGAGGACTGTCACGCAACAAAACCCTACACGTGTAAAAAATCATTATTTAAAATACGTTAGTACAGTGCAGTAGAAGAAGCAGAGTAATATTGTAGAAAGGTACCACTTAAAAAAGCGTATGTTCAATAGATATAACGAAATAATAAAATATTATAAAGTTACCATATCAATCCCTAAAATAAGTTTACAAGTGACGAAAAAGTAATGTCTACATCTATTACAACATTTTAGCACGTATGTCTATTGTTTAAGCCAGATTTAACGATACTCTTTATCACTATCTTATCTGCTTTTATGAATATCACAGGTGTCAATATTTATAAACAAAATTATTAGCTCACAGTTGTTCATTATTTAAAAGGTAATTTTGTCTTACATTTCTAAATGTCTATCCAAATAATTATTTTAATTAAAGACGTATCAGTATTCAATGTAATTATGCTCTAGAGTATAAATACATGTAGTATTTGGCCAACTATGGGCTCACATGCTGGTTATTTAAAAATTGATACTCATGGAGTGGATGCTTTTTTAAGCGTGTAAAAACAATTATGCAGACGTTGGTAAATATCCAGCCGCTTATTTCTTATTTCTTTTGGTTGTAGGGGGGTTTTATTTATGAAAATATTTTTCAGGCTAATCTAATACTAGTCTCTCAAAGAATGGGAGGCCTTGCGTCCTTGAAACTTATGCCATTTATACAGAGTGCCTTTGTCTTTCTGGACCCCCTGCTACAAAATCTGGACCCGCCCATGGTACTCACAGCATGGACTTATTATTAGGTCCATACTCACAGGCTCGCAAAAGGCCGCCGAATGCAAACCTTTTTGCAAGTTTACATAATTTAATATAGCATAAAGTCATATATAATAACGGTGTTAACACTTACATTTACCAGGATCAGGACAAAACAAAATAAGGATTATTTTCCTTATAGAACTAAAATTTGATTTTCTTTGAAATGAACGTACTTTTTCTAATGTCTTTATCCAATTGTAATTTTTGAGTTACTAACGTTATGTTCCTTCTAATAGATATGACACATGGCTCTTGCTGTCTCAAAGCTATCGACCACGAAGGCGCCCATCAGCACAAGAAACTTCAGTGTTATAATCTAAGGACATTTATGGAGACAACTTTGGGTCTTTGCGCCATGAAATGTTTTGTAAAAAAAACATGCAAGTCTATCAACTTCGACTCAATGACTGGCATATGCGAATTAAATTCTGCATAACACTGTCTATTATACATCTGTCTCTTATACACATCTAGATGATTGTCAAAGTAGACAATGTAAGTTTTGCCCGCAAGAGGTCTTGTTAAGTCATGGATAATCTTTTCTCCCAGACCATAACCTTTAGGGAAATCAGTTTCCTGTACCACATCACTACCTTTTCCTTGGCCCACAATAAATTGCCCAATGTATCCTGAATTATCTGCCCAACACCCTAATTTGTACCCCCTTTTGATGAGCTTCATTGGATTATATTGTTTGAGTGTTTGAGAGATGATCGTCCCTTAAACAGGATTGTACTCTCATCAATGCTTTGCCTTCTATCTGATTGATATAAAAGAGCAAAATCCTTATTTAAAGCACTGACCAATGGCCGTAATTTATAGATTTTGTCAGTATTACCATCAGGCGAATTCATGTTATCATTGACATGTAGAATTGAGAGAATATCTCCAAATCGGTTGCGAGACAAGCAGCTTGACACAAAGTTTACATTCAAGTCAGCATCACAGCACTAGTAATCTCTCCATGACGAAAGGTGGTGATAGCCCATATATTATTATATATGTTGAAACTTGCGGTACACCACGTAAGTAGTTCTAAAAAGAACTGTTGTAGTTGAGAAAGTCTCGACGTTTCGATTGAGTTGCTTAGATCGTTTTCAGAAGAATAATATCTGCAGAAACTCCAAACAGAGAAATATTTATATGCTATAAATTTATTCCAATAAACCCTAAAAGTTGGTTTTCCTTTAATAGTTGGGAATGATGACCCTTCTGGTTTGCATAGAGGTTTATTTGGTTGATAATGTTGTTTCTTATGTCAAAAAAAAAAAAAAAAAAAAAAAAAAAAAAAAAAACATTAGTAGGTGGAATCCAGTCTGCAAACTCCTTTATTGAAGACACCTGCATCCTATGAAAAAAATTGGATCTCTTGTCTCATATCACTTTCTTTTTTTTCCGTTGTCGTTTTCTAATTATCCCAGCATTTTTTCGAAGAACACTCAAGGGCTGGTCATCAATGTCACTAGAATCACCATCACTAGCATCAAAATCACTACCATCAACATCACTAGCATCTGAAAGGCTCCTTCCTAATCTGCTAAGTGGAATCATCATCATTGCTTTCAGTTAGATGAAAGCATAGATGGGGGCTCTGTTCCAGCAAAATATTCATCATCTTTCATATTGAAATGAACTGGTGTTGTATCGTGTGTTGGTTCATTTTGTAACTCCGGAATTCCTGATAAAATGGTATTAAAAATGCTTCCTGCTTATTTTGACATTCTGCGAACAATCAATAAAAACGAAATTCAATACATAACATTGTCTATTATACATTTAGTAATATTCCAGACACCTACCATATGCCTACACAATGAAGAGAGAATAACCGCCACTCCTAACGTGAAAATTTCATAAGCGCCCCTTCTAATTTGAATAAGCGCTCCCTCATAAGATTTTCTTTTTAGCAAGTCAATAATCCATTCAATCCTGGGACTGTGGTTGTTGGTATGATTTGAGCTGTAGAGTGGAAACACATTCTTCTTCAGTCAATATCAAAATGAGGATATTTCTCTTGGACAGATGAGAGCTCCGATCCCTGGACAAATGAGAGCTCCGATCCCTGGACAGACAGTATATTTCCAACTTTAATCTTTTTACATATTTGTCTATGTCTAGTCCTATACTCCTCTTTTTTTTCGACCTTAAGCACATTCTCATCTGAGTTTTCAAGAAAAATACAATGATCCTGCCATTCTGGTAATCTCAATCGGCCGATGGCCAACAAGCTAACCACTACCCACCACTAATTGCATCTGCTATTTTGCTGTAAATATTCACGCATTCTTGTTATGGGCCATGTTCTCTGGACGATTATCTTTTCTAAACACCATTCGTAATGTCCTTATATAATCTTTTTTCATTCAAAATGTGCCTCTTGAATTTTTAATTATTAAAATAATTTCCCATAAGAACCCCTCGATTTTCATCTATTTCCATAAGCGCCCCTCAATTTCCACTCTGTTTTCATAAGCGCCCCGTTTTAAATAAGCGCCCCGTTTGATTAAGCGCCCCTCAGAAAGTGCAAAAAAATATTTTAAGCGCCCGGGCGCTTATTCGCGCGTGTACGGTTATTATTTTGTGTCATCAAAACATTCTCTAAATGCTCAATAAGTAGTAAAATAATTGAATACATACATTTAAGTCGAAAAGTTCAAATGTCAAGACAATTTGTTTAAATTTTTGTTTATTGCTTTCAGACTTTCACAGAAAAGCTTGAGGCTCTAAACATGTGTACACAGTACTAAAGAGGGCAGCAAACCCCTGAATTCCTTTTAATGGGACTTGTGAGTCCCAGTAGAGTAGTAGTTTGATAAAGAGATAACATTACGTAAATTAGGGCATGTCTAATTAGGTTGGGACTTCCGAGTCCCGTCGGCTTAAAAATCTTGTTTCTTGCTTTTAAAGATGTTAATAGGACCTATTATGGCACCTTTATTACTGAACCGTTTGGTAAACTTAAACCGTTACCGTACCCCTCATCTTTGAAACAGTGTCTAACACCATATCAGACATGTGGTGTCGATAAACCATTTCAAATAGACACTAAAAATTTTTCATTTAACGACATATCCTGGACTGCATCTGTTTCTAGGGTGCCATTTTGGCCTCTATCTCTAAGTACCCAGTCGCCTGTGGCAAGCCAAATGTGTTACGGTACCTGTTACGTTCCTCGAGTCATTTAGGAGGTGTCCGTTAGAATAGAAGCGAATGGTGATCCCTTAGAGAATTTGCATTCTGTTGTGTCAGACTCACGACTTTCATTTAATCCGTCTATTTGACCTAACAAGACTATTTTGTCAAGAGACAACCGTGGTTGTGGTTTGTCGTTTTTATCATCATCTTAATATCATCATATTAATCAAATTACTACCTAATTACACTGCTATGTACCACCATCCCACCACTACCACCACCACTCAAATGCAGTACCTTAGTACCATAATTACCACGACCACAACCATCAAAGCATTATATCTATCAATTCAACTTCGGTTGTCTTGACGAAATAGTCTTGTTAGGTCTAATATGACATAAACCTTATGCAATATTTTAATATTGCAAAGTATAGTGAGATACAATTGTTATGTGGAGATTATCCGAAAAGTATATTACAATAACTGAGTTACAAAGTCAACCAAGGAAAGCCGTGATGCAAGCGTTGTTGTGATAATGTTGAGTTTATTACACTTCATACAGTATCAAATTCTTTCCCAAGCACCACTGTACTAGTATAGTATAGGCCTATCAATAAACAATATATTTTTCCCAATATTGTAGAGTAAAGTGGACGATTGTGGAGACTATCATAAAGAACATATTACGACATTGAGTCACAGAGTCAACCAGATAATGCCACTACAAAATCAAAATTGTGACAACTACAACGGCACGAAAATTGGCGAAAAGAAGTGTGTTTTTCTGAACACCAATAAACTGTCGTGGGTTGAGGCTCAAAGCTGGTGTCATTTGTTTGGTGGTGGAAAATTGGCAAGAATTCGTGGAGATCATAACTTGGTAAATTATCACTGTAAATTCCCATTGTGTTGCGTCCATGTTCTTCGAAAAGTGATCATATTCGTGATATAATTGATTTTCTGAAGTGTCGTCATCCAGAACTGTAGGCCTATTTAGAGACTGTAACAAGATGACCCCCAATATGTCGAAAAAAATCACTTGATTTAGTGAGGGTGGTACATTGCTCTAAATCTAATTTAATTAATTTTAAGCCCCGATTCCCGGCAAAATTTCAATTCTTAGAAAGTCGGATTTTTATATGTTAAAAAATTTATAGGCCTAAATATAATACGGAATTGCTAGTTTAACTGAATTTAGGCATTCTTAGCATGAAAAAAATGTCAAATAAGACTGAAATTTGATTTGTTGTGTTTCATACAAAAAAATTACGCTGACCGAGATTTCGACAATTAAACAAACATATCTGAGGCCTACTCGATTGAGAGCGGGTGTGCGAGATGTAAAGTACAAAACTAAATCTCATTAGATACGGCGCACATTATTTATCTCTCACGATCGTGTCGGCGATTTAAACAGTTCAGTAAAGATTAATTAATGATTTTATTATTATTATTATTATTATTATTATTATTATTATTATTATTATTATTATTATTATTATTAACTGCGGAATGAATTAAAATATCTTATCATGAGAGCTCATGGCAATGGCGAGATAAAAAAAAAATAAGAAAAAATAAAAAGATAAATGCGGCTGGTTCGCGAAACATTACCCTGCCTACCTCCGACGTCGAGTGTTTAAGGTACGCAAAAGCGAAAGCATTCCACCGGATGCGATCTACAACCTCTGAATTTGCCTAGTAACGAAGAATTTGTGGAGAAAATAGTAACCTCCTATGAGAAATAGTCTCTATTTATCATTTTATTATTTTTTAAAATAAATTTGTGTAAAATTAAAATTCATGTCAATATTTTTCAACGGTTTATAATAATTAAAGTAATGAATAGGGGCCTATGTAGTTAGCATCAACAGTAGGATTAGCATGTCTGTAGGGTTACTAATTAGGTATTAGTTTCTTGATCTTTTTGTTTTCACGTTTATGTTAACCGCATAGAGGTCTCTCAACCATTATTATTGAATGTAGGTAAGAATGGCCCCGGAAAAAATGGCCCCGGAAAAAATGGCCCCGGAAAGAATGGCCCCGGAAAAAATGGCCCCGGTAAAAATGGCCCCATATGACAGGTAGGTAAAAATGGCCCCAGTGAAAAATTCGGTAATAGAAATGATATATTTTTTTTTTAATCTTCAAATATTTAAATACTGTATAAGCAACAATTTTGGGTGTTCGTAATTTTGTAATCTAATACAC